TTATACACGCACATGTTTTCTTCCAGAGTGTTGATAACAGAGTCTGATAACGTCACACATCTTCTTATCAGAGTTAGAATCATATTGACAACAGTCACACACTAGACAGAAACCATATCATACAGAATTGTTCTCTTAGATAACATGTGTAGTTATCATTAAAACTCAAAGGACAGATGTAGAACCAAATCTTATTCTTACAATAACCATAAAGGATTTTCATAATATAAACCATACATATTTTAGGGTTATAAGTGAGATTAGAGATATGTTCCCTTTCCCTATTAATGCATGTTTTGATATTGTAGAGATACACATAAAGACCATGTTCTGACCTTTTGAGGCACAACACATCTTATCATATGCACATTTTTGCCACTATGCATATTAATGGATTATAGCTCAACATTCACTCTCTTGATTTAATCAAACTTTCACTTATTGCATTTAGTTATGTGTTGTGGACAATCTACATTTGTGTTTTTCAAATATTTTTTTGTCACCTTGCTCATGTTAGTTTTAAACAAGAATACTTACAATGTTCAATCTAAACCTCTTCCACTCCCTATGGGTACAACATCCTCACTATTATCACTTGCTGCAATTAAAACATACATGTATACTTGTATGTGACACCTTCAATCATTTTTACGCACAACAGTGAGCCATCGCCTTGTCATCCACCCCTCTACCAAACTAGTGGCGCAGAATAAGCGTAAAGTTGGCGAGTAGAAAAGGGTCGTCATTGACGAGGAAGTAGGAAAATTATCCGACGCCGCATTCATTACAGAAACAAAGTACATTACCTGGCTAGACAACATGATTTTAGTAAGGAAAGCAAACAATAGGTGGCGCATGTGTGTAGACTTTACCTATCTGAATGTCGCCTGTCTTAAAGACCTGTATTCACTACCATACATTAATCGCCTTATTGATGGGTCCTCAGGCTACCGCACATTGAGCTTTAAGGATGCATACTCGGGGTATAACCAAATTCATATGGATCCCCTGGACGCTTCCCAGACGACCTTTATGTCGAATAATGACAACTACTACTACAATGTCATGTCATTCGTCCTTAAGAACATTAGCGCAACCTACTATTGGCTTATGGATGCTGTGTTCGCCCATGAGATAAGGCAAAATTTAGAAGTTTACGTTGACGACATGATAGTTAAAACTGTCGAAAAGTGCAACCACGTCAAAGATTTGAAGGATGTCCTACTGTCAGTAAGGAAATATGATATGTGCTTGAATCCTGCCAAATGCTCTTTCGGAGTTCATACTGGAAAATTTATAGGGTTCGTGCTAACGAGAATAGGCACTGAGGCTAATCCAAATAAATGTCAGAAAACCATCGCCATGAGAAGCCTCACCAATGTCAAGGAAGTACGACTTACAGGTCACCTCTTCGCCCTATCCCGTTTCCTCGTGTGCACAGAAGACAATGTTTTCCTTTTCTTTGCTGCCTTGAAGAAGACAAAGAGATTCAAATGGAACGCCAAGTGCGAAGAGGTTTTCTCGAAGGTGAGGACATTCCTCACGCCGCCTCCCATTCTCACTCTCCTGAGGGAGAAGTCGTCACTACTCTTTTATCTCTCAATCACAAATCAGACGATGAGCTCAGTCATCGTCTAAAGAGACAAACAAGATGGATGACTTATAGTCTCATCATCCTGGCTACATATAACTTTGCACGAGGGACTTAGATTTTCTAGACTATTTAAACTCTCACCTGAGTTATAGTTTCCTCGAGCAGGACCAAACAATATAATTTCTCTTAAAAAACTTGAAGCCTAATAGGCCTAGCACGTTACACATATCATCGAAGAACTTAGGGCTTTGGGGTACTCCCCCATACCACGATCTAAAAACACTATGTCTTCTGTAAAGAGCCTCGTGCTTGAGGGACTGTGTAGTGTATTTGTAAAGACCCGACGAGGGTGATGGCCATAAGTCGTCCTTAGGAGATGAGATGACCATATGTCTCCCTCAGGAACGTACCGCCTCGTCTCAATATTTTTCTCTCGTTCAATCATGAAAATCGTGAAATACGACATTTTTGGAACATAGAGAAGTCAAGATCAATCGTTCACCCATAATTAGGGGTGCTCATGAATGGTTAATGTCCATAACCAATCCATAACCATAAATAATCCATATGTTATAACCGGTTATTAAAACCAATTCTCATAAACCGGTTTTTATCTTTTAAAATGGTTATAAAGGTTATTAACCGGTTATATCCATAATCAATTTTATAATTAGTTTTGAATTAATTTTATTTTAAAATTAATTTTTTCAAAATTATAATATTTTTTTTTTTTAAAATTGATGTTAAGAAAAACAATAGGTATTTTAAAATTTTAGAAATAAATAATTTTTTAAAATTTTTTGGAAAAAATTTTTATTTACTGAAAAAAATTAAAACAATATGTTTTTTCAAAATTTTTTTTCAAAATTTCTTTTTTAATTAAAAAAATTAACTAATTTGATTTTTATTTTAGATATGCATGTCCAAATTATGAATTTGGTTAAAACCATATTAAAAATATATCTAAAATATGAATTTAGTAAAAACCATACTAATAATTAATCGAATTTTAATAACCAAATTTAGATACCGATATAAATTATTTAAATAACCGATTTATTTGAGCATTCCTAATTAATTAAATTAACTGCGGATACTTTTTTAAAAAAATCCTAAGTTCAAAATCTCTATAATGGGAGAGGACGAACATTGAACGGTAAAATATATTATGATAATATAACATATAAAAAAATTTGTAAAAAAAGAAAACTTTATCCTTATTCTCGTATTCTTTTGTTTTCTTTTGGACGGAAAACAAATAAAATAGCAAAAATAATTGAAGTGAGTGTAAAAACAATGGGATCCAAGACCGAGACAACACGCAAACAGATAGAGAGAGAAAGTGAGAAGAATTAGAGAGAGAGAGAGGTGAACACCGACCGTCGTTCGGTGCTCCGCTCATCACGGTTGTGGCCCCACCGCTCCGGTGAGTTCTTACTTCGATCCTCTTCTTTCATTTTCCTTCAACTTGATCTTCATATTCTACTGTTTCTCAGTTTCAAACCTCAATTTTGTTTTATTCCACCCTATTATCAACTTTCTGTTTTTTTTTTTTCTTTTTTATTAATTTTTCTATATTTGATATATTTTTGTTTGGGTTTTGCTTAATATCCACAGTGAATTTAGAGGCTTTAGAGTTTTTTTTTTTTTTTTGGATTGAGCTTTAAAAAAATCTGTTTTTTTAGATGTGCTTTGCATAAAATTCTTATCTTGGTTGATTTAGTGGGTGTGGTAGTGAACTTGCAGATTGATTTTGCTACTTTATTGTATAAATGTAATCAATTTTCTGTTTTTGACTTTTTTGTGTTTGTGCCTAATTAGTTTTTGACTTATTGGAACACCATAGAATCATGTTATTCTTTTTCAGGCTACATTAATTGCAAATTTCTATGTTAGCTGGCATTTATATTGAGTTTGAACTGAACTACAGTAGCTGGAGTGTCGGGGTAAATAGACTTAGGTGGTTTGGGCATGTAGGGAGAAGACATGTAGATTCTGTGGTAAGGAGAGTAGATCAGATGGAGAGAAGTCAAACAACTAGAGGAAGAGGAAAATATAAAAAAATTATAAGAGAAATTATTAAGAAAGATCTCGAGATTAACGATCTGGATTGAAGCATGATTTTGGATAGAACAGTATGGCGAAAGTTGATCCATGTAGCCGACCTCACTTAATAGGATAAAGCTTGGTTGTTGGTGATGTTGGTGAGTTTGAAGTGAACTGATTTATGTTTTTTCTTTATTCTCTCGGAAAGTTTGATATAAAACTTTCATAAACTTATGAATAAATTTATAAATTTATGAACAACTTTATGACCTAATGCAAAAGCTACTTTTTATCACCTCTACTCAAAAGGAGGTTTGGGCTTAAAATCAGTTTTGTCCGACAGTATTCAATCATTATAATTTTGCTAGGATAATGCTTGACAGAAAAAACTTAAACTTAAATTTATAAATTGAATGCAAAAGCTACTTTTTATTACCTCTACTCAAACGAGGGTTTGGATGGATAATTAGTCTTTCCTTATGGTAATCGTTCATCAATAATTTGTGTTTTCAATATAACAACACATGACGCAAAAATCAGTTCTTATAGTTACATTATATAACCAAACATAGACATAGTAGATCACTTGTAAGCTAGACAACATTTCTACAAGGCAGCGTTGTTCATTAGAAAGTCCTTTACATTTGATTAGGATAGTTGTTTGCTTCTTTTTTTTTTCTTGACACGGGGAAGCAAAGTTTGGTAAAATGGAATCTAAAACAATACAGCCGTAAATTGCAATTTTGTAGTTTTCCAGTATTCTTTGATTGCTTTCTTTTATTTCTTTTTCTTTATATTACGTAATTACGTTTAAATGATGGCACAGTATTATTTTTAGAAAGATTTATGTCCAATTGTGATTACGTTTAAATGATGGCACAGTATTATTTTCTTAGAAAGATTTATATTCAGTTGGTCTCAGTGTAAGCAGAACAATACAAATTGACTCAAAAACTTTCAGCTGAAGTTTCTGCTGCCTCTCTTTTATCCTGCAAACCATAATTCTGATTACATGTTTAAGGGCATTAATTGATTTACAGAAGTTCGGCAGTATGTATTGTAACCGGTATAGTTGCAAGGTTTTTAGGATTTTGAATTTGTTTGAACGAACATTTGTTTGTTTTACTGTCTATGAAGGTTTTTCTTTTTTGCTGAGATGTGTGGTTTCAATTTGTTTTCATTACTAGATTTTGATGTTTTCTTTACTTTGAATTCTAAAGAGCCAGGGATCGAACCTTGGACCTTCTGCTTATATCTCCTTCGGCGTCCCTTAAGGAACCAACCGTGTTACCTACTTGAGAATTTTCTACTAACATGGCCTGTTGTTGCATTTGCAGTATTTTACGCTCTAAAGGATCACATGTCAAACATAGAGGATAACAAAGAACTTGGACAGATGGATGTGGATGCATCTGGTGGGTCAGTTAGCATGCCATCGCCCCAGAAGCAGGTTGTTTTTGGATCTCGCTTTCTTACATGCTTAAGTTACGAGTTAAATTTGACTTTGGATTAGATAATTATCTTTACTATGTAGTTGTTACTTCCAAGTGATTATTTTTACAACTTTGTTACTCACGAATTCATAAACCTTGTAGGAGGAAACTTTAAAGAAAAAATATGGAGGAATGATTCCCAAAAAACCGCCACTTATTTCTAAGGTACACCGTACAAACATGTAGATTTCTGTGTGTTCATTTGTTTGTAACAAAGTTGAAATCAAGAAAGGCGGTCAATGCAATGCACATGAATATTTGGTGATAGAAGTCTTCATTTGATTTCTCATTTGACATTTAACTTTTGTGCCAGGACCATGAGCGTGCTTACTTCGATTCTGCGGATTGGGCATTGGGAAAGGTATTTCTGGAAAACACATTTGCAATAGTTGCTTGTATTGAACCGATATTGTTATATAGCGCCTATAGTGGCGCGCTATGATATTTAGTACCAAACGTAGTCTAATAATGGTTGTAGTGGTGCTATAGCACTGTCGCATAGCGGAATATGAACAAGCCTCTATTTTTCATGATCTCCAATGATAATACTATTGAACTATCTCACACTTTTCCCTGTGTCCTCATGTGAAACAGCAAGGCGGTGGTAAGCCTAAGGGACCACTTGAAGCTCTTCGGCCTAAACTACAGGTATTGAAGTGCATATTTATCCAAAAGCCCTATAGTAATTTTAACTCATAAGTATCTTTCATTTTATTGTAATTTGCATAACAAAGTTCCGTTTGGTTTTTTTATGTTTCAGCCAACACAACAGCAAACACGTTACCGGAAATCTCCATACGCCCCTTCGGGTGAAGGTATGTTTTTGTTTTAATAGCTTGCTTTGTTTAGTTTAGAAGGTTAAATTAGATTCAACTCTTCTCTCTACTACTGATTCTCAGCATCTTTACAATGAACTAACTAAGTTCTTCTGTTTATAGAAGGTGGAAGTGTTCCATCTGAGGATGCACCTTCCAATGAGTAAAAGCAGCAATCAGGCTTTTGATGATGTGCTGATTATTGTTCTGGTATACCTCAGTCTGAGGTATAACTTTTTTTGTTGTTTTCAACAATAAAGTAAGTTTATTATTATGTATTCATCATATTAATTAAGCACAAGACAAACTATTTGGCCTGCAGCTATTCTGGAGACACTTCCTGTGATTCTGATTTGTGTTTTAATCTTCTTCCCCCTCCCTTCATGTTTTTCATTTCTTAGTTTTGAAAAGGAAAAAAAAAAAGTAATAAGAAATTAATGATGGAAAGTGGTCATGATGTAAAAATATAGGCAACTATTGAACAAGATTAAAACAAAACTGTTGTTCATATGTTTGGTTTTGGATCATGATTTTTGTTGTCACTTTAAATTTAAAGTGTGTTGTAAATGATTTATATTTACTATTGTTAGTAGTGATTTATGTTAGAATCTTTAGGCAAACGCATTAGGTTAGAATGTGTTGGAAGATTTACTAAAGATATGGTTGATTTGAGCGACAAAGTCAAGGAGACAATATCATAATTATCAAATATTTTGAGACAAAGGAAGTAACAATTTAATTTTATTGGTGCACGTGGATGGCATATAGTCATAGATTAGGAGGAGGAAGAGGAGAAGCAACAATTGTTGGGAAAACAACTAGCCAAAAAATAGAGATTAAGATCTTGGGAAAATTGAAGTATTTTCTGGGAATTAGTTATTGATTAAAGCCTCTATATAAGTATGATTGGGAATCTATGGTATCTCACTTTAAACCTTATTGATATCACCTTGTCTCTTTGTGTGTGTTTTTGTAGTAAAGCTAATCCTAAAAGAACTTGTAGAAGAAAAGATAATTTCTCTCGATCATTTTACCACAAAAGCCCTATATGTCATTCAGTTTGAAAATTTTAGATCTGCCTTAGAGATGTGTGTCTTCAATTTCCTAAAGCCAGATCAGGTTGTCTCTTCCCCAAAAATTAAGCGAATTGGCTCTTTAAAAGAGGAATATGCAGATTTTCTATTTTAGAAGACCTAATTGATTAAGTTCCAACTATAATTAATTAGAGAGCTTGTTTTAAATTTTTTTTCAAATAAATCTTTTCTGGACCAAATCTCCATGGTTTCTATTGGTTTTTACACTAAAATAGATTCAGAAACTTCATTATATAGAGGTATTATCTCATTTTTTCTGACATCCAATTATTTATTTCTTCCTTCTCTTGCTTGTGTGAATTTATTCCTTGCCACTATCATCGTTGTCATCATCATCATAATGGATTTAATAAGGAGTTTCCCTTCTGGAAATCCTTCAAGAAAGTAATATTCATAAACAAATCAAGGAGAGAAAGATATGTTCAAACGCATGGTGATCAAGCCCTCTCACATGAAGTCAAAGTTTTTTAGGGATTTCAGATCTTTCGATGACCTCATCTGAGGTTTGCTCATAGCTTTCTTCATCAAAGTACCATGTTGCATGTTTCCAAGACTTGTTAAGTTGTTATAAGCAAATCTCATGTTTGAAGATCTAACACTCACAACTTTAGTAAAAGGTGTTGAGGTTCATATTCACATGGATGATTTTGGAAAATAGTTTGAGTCACCTTACTTTGGTAAAACCCACTCCTATGATGAACCTTTTAGATTAAAGAAATTCAATCACAAACATTTTTATTTCAAGCTTCCTTGTTGATCTATTGGGAGGCAATGCGCTTCTTATCAACACAAAATTCATGAAAGCTAGATGTTATGTGGTACATCATCTGCTTACTTGCATACTATTTTCAAGGCAAGAGAATTGTGGAGTCCCCATAAAGGAAGACATGAAGACATTGTTGCTATGTGGATGCTAAAAAAAAACCTCCAAACTAATTGGGTCAATGGAATCTTTAACCGCATGTCCTATTGTAGAAGGTATCCACTCAGTTGAGTTTTCCTATGGAAGCCTGATCGCCAAGATTTTGACTAATACTTTATTCAATTTTGAGGGTAAATTTATAGATCCAATCCATTGTCGGATCGACTCAACGTCTTTAAACCAAATCAAAGTTTAGGTCTTTCGAGTCAAATTAAGGAACAATCCATATGAAGAAGAGGTCGAAGCTTTGCCAATTGCTGCCAATAAGTGCCAATAAAGGAGTGTTAAACACCATTCTTGCACTCTCCCTGGATGATTCTCTAGCTCTTCATCGTTGAAATCTCTGTATTTTAAATCTCTTTTTAATTAATGAAGTTTTTTTTATTAAATACATATATTTCATGCATTTGTTTATCTATGTGTTTGGATGTTTTTCATATTTGTTTATCTTTTCACTCCCCTTTGATAATGCTATTACAGAATAAGAATATTCTGAGGGTGAGTATGATATACTATCTATATTTGTTATATGTCAAAGATTGTTTAAGCACTCCAATTTTTTACCATGATTTCTTTGTTTGTGAAATTATGTTAGATTGATAACAAGATGTTACGCACATTGTCCACAATTTAATGAAGTAACAACAATAAAAAAAATAAGCATAATAAATAACACAGATAATTGATAATTCAGTTTGGTGCAAAGACATCTATGTATGAAAGACATCAGCCAAATAAAAGGAAATTTAATAATCAGTAGTCAATAATACACGAATGTCTCATTTGAACTCTAAACAAGAAAATGACAAACTAAATTCATCAAGATATAAGTCATCAAAGAAGTAGAATCCTATACTTAAACAGCAACAAAATCTAGCCTAAAAAGCCCATTAGGTTTTTTTTTTTTGACAAAACTTGATTTATTTCAAAAAGTGCAAGGTGAATCTTTCTTCATTAAAGCTAATTCTGAATCAAATCTAAATAAATCTTGATTTGGATGATTTGAGTAGCATAAAATCTTTATATATTCAGAGAAAAGCGCACAATAAATCAAATATATGATTGAACCAAAAAGAAAACAAATCTTGAAGCGTGATATTCAATCAGATAAGGTGCATGCGCCAAGAGTAGATCGGGACATAATGTTTTTCACTATGTCAGCAACATCCTGCTTAACATGTTGCCTAAAAAATTTGTCAATTAAATGTAATAAGAAACTCCCCATTTGACTATTTTTTTAGGAAAATTAATAACATGCATGTTATGCACATTCTTACACACAAACTTCCAAATTAGATCTCAAGATTAAAACATTGTTAGAGACCACATATGAATACAACCAAAGTATTTTTTGCAACAACATCAGATCATTGTGAAACAATGCAGAAACTTGCATTTATTATCATAATTAGAGATCACGTCAGATAACAAAAGTCATATAGCATTATAAGAAAAATTAAATGATTGATTCTCCTCAAAAGGGACGAAGAGATGTGACCATTATCAGTTATACATGAGCATATAAGACACATAAATATCCAACCACATATAGGCATAAAACAACCGTAGAGAACATATTATCCAGCCCCGTATGGGCATAAAACATTAGGAGATAACATATTATCATGTCACATGAGGACATACAACTTTAACAAATTTAGAGAATCGATTAAAAATAGGAAAGAAACAACCAAAAGTCAAAATAATCAAAAATTGTATTATCGAGACGCGGAAGATGAGCCTTCGTCTGAGGAAGTCTCGTACTCAGCACCATTATTTTTATCAAACCTGACATATTTTCATCTTCACCCAATGTCATAGCCTCTTTCTTACCATTTAGTATAGCAACTTGAGAAGAATGAGCACCTTCATCTTGTGGATTTAACATTGGAATCAAGCCTTCACACTAACTCTTTTTAGCAGTGGATGTGGCTATGATTTCTTGAAGTGCTTTGGACTCTTACATAAGGACATTGATGGTGTGGCTTCTCACAGTCCCATACATAGGTGGTACATCAATTATGTACTCGTCAACAACTAATTTAGAATCATCAATACTAGGAATATTTGAAAGCACAATGTCAGGGACATGTTTCCCAAAAAATAACTTGCAAGTGAAATTTAACAGACCAAGGTCAACAACTACCTCATCCTCAATAGTAACAATATCACTCTTTTGGTTAATCAAAATACCATAAATCAAATATGGGAACCCAATAGGAATTTTCACGACATACGATTCAACCTGCTTAACTACTTGATCAAAAACATACTCACCGAAATTAAAAGTTGTCATAGTCCATATTGATACAATAAGCTAGCTAGACTGGGAGTTATACCCGAATCATGGGAAGAGGTCGCCCAATTTGCAACACCAAAGGATAAAATATCTTACACAAAATTTTGAAGCGACCAGTTGGCCTTTAGATGGCCAATCATCATGAATATTTCTAGTGATTTCCACTACTATGGAAAACCCATATGACAACGGTTGGAAAAGGGATACCATCACGCAGATTCAACCTTTGTGACATAAGGTGTGATTGTATGTATGATGATTTCAACCACGGGCGGGCAACCATGATTGTATCCAAGTAGCGCACTATCTACCACAATGATTACTTTAAATAACCGTTGTGGTATATTAAAATGAAAAATATTTAACAACGGTTGTTCTAGACAACCTTTGTTGTATATAGCCCTGAGTTTATTTTAAATTATGTGGAATGTTTATTTCGCCAATGCTCACTAAACATATAACTTTCCAATCTGCGCTAGAACCTTATTGTCCTACCTCGAAAAATACGATCCTCGCGATGGACGCGGAAAATACATTTGAAACAGAGTCGCTACCAAACTTTATTCATTCCAAGAGAGGAATAGGAAAATATCGATAAAACCTTTAAGGAGATAAGAACATGGTCGTCGCAACCACATTCCAAGTTCGGGAGTCGATTACATAAGGGGAAGGTATTAGCACCCCTCATGTCCGTTGTACTCAACGGGAACCTCTTGATTCGATTCGAGAGTAAAGTTAGCTAAACTGTTTGTTTTCTTCTAAGGTTTCTCCTATAAGGGAAATGGGTGGTTTATAATATAGGGTGCTCGCCAAGGATTGGGGCCTTGTGCCTACGTATCTTCACTTGTAAGA